ATACACACACATACAAACATATATATATATACACATACATATACACATAAATACATATATATATATATATATATATATATATATATATACAATCACACACAGATACATACTACATATATACATAAATGCACATTACACACGTATATACAATACACACATACATACATGCATCACACACAAATATGCACACATATACATATATGTAAAATAATATAAAAAGCATAATAAACAGAAAAAAAACAATGATAAATAAGTTGATCTATCTATTGCTTAAATATTGTTTTTTAAATGAGAATTTTTTATATGACAATTTAAGGTAGGTAAACATCTTAAGAAATTTTGTTTATACTTATCAAGGTAATTTGTATTTAATGCTTTTTTAAGTGCCGAAATATTCCTGCAGTTTCTAAGCTCACTTGGTAAGTAATTCCAAACCGAAAAATGATCATGTTGTCCTCAAAATCAGACCATTTATGGAATAGTATTTACGACCTTACTGATACTAATAGGAAAACTGAAGAGCTAACTACTACTCTACAAAATGCTTATAATGCCAATTTTCCGACAGAAAGTTTGAAAATTAGAAACACTGATCGCCCCTGGCTGACTAAGAGAGTAAGAAAACTCATAGCCCAACGATAAAAAGCATATGCTAAGTTTGGTAAAAATCGAACGAGTGGAAAAAAAACTCTGCAACACCCCATCCTAAAACGATAAGAAAAAGGATATGCAAGAAAAAAAAAATCATAACATAAACAATGGCTTGGGAAAGGCCAATAAACATATGAGACACATTCTGCCAACAGCCAAAATGCAGTTCCAGTGAATTTTAATGGAAAATTTTATTAAAAAAAAGATGCACAGTGCTGTATTTTTCACCAATCAGCATGAGGTGTATATAACAATAAAGCTAATTTTGTAAAATGCACTAAGCGTTCACACCAGAGTTAATCGACCTATGTTTTTAAAGTTAAAAGAAAAGCAAATCTTGTTTGGAAAATCATGCAGAATTAGCCTTTTGTGCCTATCAGAAGGTTTATCAATTTGAAACAAAAATGCATACCGAATTCAGCAAATGATTCTTAAAGCTTAAAATGTAATATTTGATAATTTGTCACCTCAGATCATCAAATGAACCTATTCGAATTATATCGGGGGAGGGGCATATGAGAAAGACGTTGTAAGCTAACAATTATACAGGAATTCATTATGAAAAACCTGCACAAAAAAACATTAACTCCCCATTGAAAAAATTAATAAAAGTAATAAAAGCCAATCAATTATCAATTAAAGTACAGTATAATATAAAATGTTTAATGTTAATATATAAAACAAATAAGGATTTAATAATACAAAAACAATAATTTAACAACTATAAAAAAATAAAAATAAGTAAAACCATTCAAATGTACAAATTGTTTTTGAAATAATGTCATATTACTATCAGATATAGTACATCTTCATAAATATAACCAATGAAACATGATAAATAATTGTATTTAAGGTCAGTAGACAAACTAAAATTATATATTCATAACTAACAATGCCCCTAAACACTACACCTGATGAAGCCCTCTTTGGGAGAAATTTGTGAATAGAAATTTGATGTCAGTCAAAAAAATTGCAACTACACTGACTGAATAAAACGTATTAGGAATCTTTTTTTATTGTTCTCAATGCCACATATACTGTATATATGGTTTATAATTTTGTATTAAAATACAATAAAAAATCAGAAATGTTGAATACTAGAGGATTTTTTTGTTGTTGTTCACAATCATTGGCAAGCTTTTTTAGGTCAGGATTTGAGTTTGGCAGTGATGTTTATTCATAACCTTAGCTATAAGAAGAGTTCATCATAATAGGGAAATTCCACTACCGATATTTAAGGTGTGTCATACAGTTCTCTACAACATTTCAGTGTATGAACTTCATTTACTGTGTCAAGAAATGTCCTTCCAGGTATTTCAGTTTTGTATATTTATCATTTTTAAGTTTAGAGTATTCATTGACATTTTTATAATACTGATAATACAGGAACTGAAAATGATTTACGCTAACTGAATTTATATGTCAGGCTGGGACCAATAATTTATAAAAAGTAGGCATCTGTGTATGGTTTCAAGGGCACACAAGGCTTAAGACCAATGAGGTTTACCCTGGTTTTATCACATGATTTCATATGTTTTTTAATTTGTATTAAAACAAGGAACACTTGCACTAAATTTTGATGTTAAATAGTCATCCATTATTTTTTTTTCATTTGGACACAATGTCTTCTTTTATTTCTGTAGGCCACACAGGCCCATAGAAAAAAAAAACACACACATATTTTTATGCTACAGAACAAAATTATATATTTCTGCTGTGTGGGATTATATAGTAATATTTCCCAAATAAATCTCATGAAGATCACTATAAACTGGACAAGTGTAACACAAAGTGGAATTCATTTTCAACACAGTTAAGTGAATAGTTTACAAAGCTTTATGTGAATCTACCTTGCTAAAAGAATTAGCATTAAGACAGCTAGATCTTGTTCTAATATTAACACATCTTCTAAACTTAAAAATAGATATGTTGCTCAAATATGTTTCTATGCAATAAAACCTCGTTAGATTTAAATAATCCTGACACCTGAGACCTTGCACTGTTCAAAAATATGTATAAAAAGTGATAAATCCTCTACTCTCTCAGCCACACAAATTAAAGCATGTGTACAGTATTTAGAATTGTATGTACTTGACATACCCAATTCTTTGTGTCATCATCAAACCGTTTCAACATTTTATAAGACTTATAAGGTAAACAATTGATTTCCATTCTCATGATTTTCAACCAATATTCAACGTTTCTGTGCCTTTACAATTCTCCTCTATTATTAAATCCTCCTTATTCAACTGAGTTAAGGCAGCTGTGATGGTCAGATACCAAATACTGTTCAATAAGACACAGAGTAACACTTAAGCTTTCAGTTGTATACAGTTTAATAAGAACTCAGTAAGTGAAGTTACCTCCACAGTACAAGTGTACTTAAGTTACAGAATAAGGTGTGGCACCCTAATGGTGGCGCTATTTATATTTACATTAAACTTGGTATGCGTTGTTTCATACATTTGGTTTTCCCAAGCACCCCAAATCTCTGACCCATATAGTAAAATAGGAGCTACCATAGAATCAAAGAGATGCATTAAAAGATCAACAATGTTGGATTCAAAATCAGATAAAATACCACGATATTTCATTTTTATGAGAGAGTACAATGATTAAATAAGCTTGGGAATATGCACTCCTATGACAATTTAAAAATGATGATCTTAATAATCATCATTTTATCATGTACTCTTTTTGGAAGGAGGGAGAGAATTAAATTAATTACTCTCTTGAAAATGTTTATCACAACATTTATTCAAATTTCATTCTGTTAATAAGGTCGTCACAAAACGTCCTTATTCAACTGAGTTAAGGCAGCTGTGATGGTCAGATACCAAATACTGTTCAATAAGACACAGAGTAACACTTAAGCTTTCAGTTGTATACAGTTTAATAAGAACTCAGTAAGTGAAGTTACCTCCACAGTACAAGTGTACTTAAGTTACAGGATAAGGTGTGGCACCCTATTGGTGGCGCTATTTATATTTACATTAACTTATTGGCATCAAGCCATTACAGCAGCCACATACAGTACTATAGTACACCTTTACTTACAGTACTATAGTACAGTACTGCCTAATACATCAAAGTGAGTAACTGATTCAAGTGAGAATATAGGATTTGTTAAATTGTCATACTATCATTGTATAAGCCCGTGCCCTTGAACATAAAATTTGGCCAATTTTTGGGGGTGGGCTTCTACCTGGGAATCCTATTTTTACAAAAACAAAAACAAAAAAAACAAAAAAACAAAAAAAACAATCCTTTTTTTAAACTTACAGTATGTTAGAAAGAATTATAAATTGCTAGAATTCAATAAACTGAATTTAGACATTCCTAAACATGAAAAAAATGCAAATTATGACTCAAATTTCCAACAAAAAATAAAGGCAGATGACGTTGATTGTTGCGATGAGTACAACTATTTTGTCTCTATGTAAGGTAGTTTTTGGAATTTATCAGTGAAATACTTGAACCATCTTCTTGTAGTAAACATACAATCATCATGCTTGATACAAACAAAATTTAATTTATGCTATTTTTTAGATGCCCTTAAATAAAAAAATTACTATGCCACCAAAAATACAAGAGTCACAGAAAAGATCAGCAACTGAATTACAACCTGTGACCAACAGAAGACCGCGACTTGAGGAAGCCCCAATGCAGCCAAAGTTAGACGTCACAGAGCCCTCGACATCATGCAAAGTTACATTTGGAAAATTTGATAAAGGTAAGCCTTAGCTATATACTTAGACAAACAGTAAACTACTGTTGATGCGTGAGTGTATGTGTACCAACTTTCATTGGGAACTTTAACAGAATCGAAATACTGTAGATCTAGTCCATTATACCGATTTTTCAATTTATGAATTATTTTGTGCTAATGGGTATGTAAAATTGACAGTCTACCAGGGGTGGTGCCAGGATTTGCCCATCGTGGCTTCTTCAAAATCACTGGATTCTGTTCTACTGTACATCCTATATAACATCTATTTTGAAATGTAAAGAAAGAAGGAGTTGTATCAACATCTTATACATCCCGTCGTCAAACTTTGACCAAGGCAAGTAAACAAAAGGACGCACATCTCGGCTCTCGAAAATAGCGCGCGTGTGCGTACAGTCCTTTGATCTTTACTGTGGCATCGACAATCCGATACCTAGTTGCGAGTTTACAGCCGTCAATTATTAGTCCACGCGTGCCATACGAACCGTCCCATATGTTTTGTGGTGTTAGTTACTATTATATTAATTTTGGGTACTTCGCAATGTCTGACATTACATCTGATTTCTTTTGACCACAAGCTTGTTAAATGCTTCTATAAACTACAACTTGGTTCTTGAAAATTGACCAACAAAAAGTTATAGCCATTGAAAATTTACGATTTTTATAAAATTTCATGTTCTTATATAACATGAAACTGTCATTTTGACAATCTTGGACTAAGGTGCACAAAACAAACATATGAGTAGATACAGAAAATGTATTTATTTGTTCTGTGAAGTGAGTCTCATGAACGACAATACACCATGGTAAAGTTAATGTTGAAATAATAATAATAATAATATAATTTCAGTCTAATGCTAGTGTAATATCATTTAGGCCTTTGTAAATCACTGCATGACATGCGATCATCATGACAACTAACAATTATGGTTTGGTTGCTACGGTTTTTGAGACAATCAGCTTGTAGGGGCGTGAGGCACATAGAATGTCGATGCCAGAGTTATATCCTTTGATGTCCCAAGATGTGCGTCCTTTTGCTGAATTGCCTTGCTCTGACCAAATGTTAAACTATGAGATCTATCCCCCTGAGCAAACTCTCGTTTCTATTCAAGGTTCTTGAATGTGCGGTAGCCAATCAGTTGTACCGTTACATGTCTAAACATCACTTGATGAAAAATTCCATCTGCCTTCAAGGCATTTCATATTGCATGTCTTAAGGTATAAAATAATCTATTGTAGGCAATGGAAAAAAAATTGATTTGATTAAATTTCTGCCATAAAGTTAAATAAATGTTAATAAATTATCATTACATTTTTAAAGTTGATATTATATGAAGAAAGTTCTATTTTATATTCTGAGGTTTATATAAACTTTTTGAAAGCAAAATATAAAAAGTAACTAAACTGTTTTTACAGGTATGTCTGTATCCAAGGCATTACAGTTTATGGATAAAAAAGATCTTGAGTGTGCCATCTGCCTCAACAGGTTTCACCAACCAAAGACACTGAATTGCATGCACACCTATTGTCTACACTGTATCCAAAAATGGGTGGAAACTCATGGTAAGATGAAATGTCCAACTTGTAAACAAGAACATGATTTAATAAAAGAAGACCTAAAAAAGCTGGCTTCAAATACAATGATAAGTCAACTACTAGAGTATGTCACGAAAACTGAGGAGCGAAAACCAACTAACTGCTCTTTCTGTGACAATCAACCAGCATACCACTGCTCAACATGTCAACTATATTTATGTGGAGGTAATTGTATCAAACAACACAAGATACTACCTTCCACTAAAGATCATCCACTTTACACACTAGACAAAAAGGAACAAGATGGCAGCTCAGACAAACAAACAAAGTGCTCAGCTCACTGCAATATAACACTGGCATTTTACTGCACCACTTGCAACAAATCAGCATGTGAGAAATGTGAACATATTCTTCACTGTAATCAACAACAACACAAAGTGATTTCAATGTCGACTGCAGTAGGTGAGTTTAACAAAGATGCCACTGATGCTATCAAGTTAGCATCTAAAATTCAAAATGTATTAAAACAAAAACTAGAATTTATAGCTAAAGATAGACCAGTATTTGATACACAACTAAATTTATGCAGAACAGCTATTGAAATCCTAGAAATCAAAATTATCAAGAAAGTTCAAGAGAAGAGCCAAGAACTAATTTCAACCCTTGAGAATATATATAAAGAAAAGCAGAAAAACATTGACAGTAAAATTAAAGATATTGATGCAGAGCTGAATCAAATTAATGATTTGATGACCTCTCTCAATTCGATTATGAACAAACCAGAAGAAAGAGAATCTCTTAGATCCCATAAGGCAACTATTGATGGTGTCAGAGACAGGATCTTGGGAACTGATTTTGATAAGCTTTTTCATATAAGGAATTTTAGACCAGATTTGATCCCATCTACACACTTGGATGAGTTGATGAATACAGAGGGCATTGGTAAAATCACAACTGTTGAAAGCATGATGTACACAGTGCAGGGAAAAAAACATGGAGACATTATTCATATCTCACAGGAACTTCCATTTGAAGTAATAGTATCATCAAGTGAGACAGAGAGTGGTGCATGCAACTTAGCTGCAACTTTAATAAACACATCAGGTGAAGAATTGGCAACTGAGGTACGATATCAGGGAAATGGAAAGTACAAAATAAAAGGAGATTGCGATGTGCTAGGTAATTGGAGAATGAATATAACTGCTGGTTCTGCACACATCACTGGATCTCCATTTAATGTAAAAGTCACAGAGTATGATGATCTCTTTTAAGGTATGTTTTGAGAAAGAACCGTTCTTTAGGACGATTCTTTCTATGATCAGATCATTGAGGCAGTTCAAACTGGGCCCACAAAAAACAAACAATCTTTGTTGGCATCGCAAATAACGGTTAATTGGCATAGAATCAATACTGTGCCTGGATGCCGAAGAAATGTTCCTTGGAGTGTATTTCTTTAGCTGCAACACAATTAACAAGGGCACAACCTGACCTAGATCAACCGAGGCTAAGCCTATATGCCTAGTATAGAATTGTTCAGAATGAATTTAAGAATTAATTTTATATCAGATTATAAAATTACTTTCATCGTAGTAAGGCATGATTTTTCTTTTTTCGGTGACTGACCAGAAATGTTGGAAGACCTGTTGGAAGACCCCCACCAATTCAGTAATACGATATTATTAGAAGAAATGATAAAAACAAAGGTTACTCTTTAATTCTCAACTTATGAAAAATTTAATCATTGTTTTATTAAACCAACAGAGATGAGCTTTTTTTGGATAGGAGGAAGTGTTATGGTTTCTGTTTGTCATAATAACAAATATAATAAACGACATGGAAACCAGACTGCAACTGCTAGAACAATGGATTTATTCTCAACGCTAAATAGCACCACACGGCGGCAGGATCTGACATGAGGGACTAAGTTATGTATGTTATACAACATCTCCCTTTTTTGTTAATTTTTTTTTTTTTTTATTAATTCGTTATTATGACTTTCCTATTTATGAGATTAATTACAGCTCTATATGCGAGTTTCCATTATTTTCTTGAGTATCATGGATTTCACATTGCAACACCCTTTGTTTTTATGATCCTGATGATACCTATTAATAAGTCATGTACTGTATATCATTTTTTATCTTATTTATTTATTTTGTTTACTTACTTTTTTTTTTTAACATTAACATTAACAAGAAAAAGAACAAGGGAGAAAATCCCTGCTAGAACTTCTATGAAACGAGTCAGTATGGTTGATGCTGAAACTTAGTTTGTGTTTCAGTAGATGGTTGTTGTTGGTATGCTGTGATCTTGTCACCTGTCCCGTTTGGTTTTTTTGCTACTGCAGGATGTCCATTAAGAGAGCAGTTTAGCTCAGTTGGCTAATCTGGTGGTAGCCACTGGGTGTGCGTTGAACCGTGGAGATATGTAGGTCCCCGGTTCAATTCCCATCGTTGCCTCTCCTTGTAATTGAGCTGGAGGGCTGAGATACAAGTTATAATAGCGCACCTTCTTTCGGATGAGACGTTTAAGCCGTTGGTCCTGTGTGCATTGATGGCCCATGTGCACGTTAAAGAACACAGTACTCTTCAGAAAAGAGTAGGAGATTGTCTCCCGGTGTACTGCCCAATCACCACCAGAAGTACCCCACTGGAAATAAGTCTTCTAGACTTTCGTGGGCTATCCTTGGTGTTGTTGACACTGAATAAATCCACTCTATTGTTGATTCTGGGGTTGTGCGTAGAAAATTTCTGTTGCGACGATAAACTTTGCCATTTGTGGTTTCTACCAATTAAGAATGAGGTCCTACTTTTTTCATGCACGTTGCTGTCTGCCATTTCTGGTTGTTGTTTTCTGGCCTGGTCGGACTGTTTTCCCAATGACAAGTTCTGGTAGCTTTGTTGCACTATGTCATACTCTAGTTTTGATTGATGTTTCCTTTTCTTAATGTGTTCTGAGACTCCAAACTTAAATGTGGTTGTAGAAGGATTTCTTGGCAATCTTTACTGCTGCCTCTGCTTTTCCTTTACTCTGACTGTGATAGGGAGAGCTGGTAGCATGGTTAAACTCCGATGTCTTCGTGAATTCAGCAAATCCTCAGCTATCCCACTGTCCCCCATTGTCTGTGATCAGTGTTGATGGTATTCCTTGTAGGACGAAGTGCATCTTGCTGCATTCAATGGTTGTTTTAGATGTTAGATCTTGTAGTACACATCATGTAGTGATTTACTGTTACAAGGTAATCTTTGCTCCTATATGTAAGTATTATTTCCCATGGTCTGGTTGGAATAGGGTCAGGGGCGGATTTAGGGGGGGGCCGGCCTGGCCCCGGCCCCCCCTTTTGGGAGGTAAAAAAAAGAAAAAAAGAAGAAAAAAAGAGAGAAAAAGAAAAAAATGATAGCCCAGAATGCCTCAAATGTTATGTTCGGGTGTCTAGAACACAAAAATTTCGCGGGGCCATGCCCCGGACCCCCTACGACAGTGTTGTCTCAATCGGCCCAACTTTCGGCCCCCCTTCCGGCCCCCCCTTTTGGACATTTCTGGATCCGCCCCTGAGGGTATAACATCATTGGCTCTTTTTTCTGCTTCTCTTGGTTAAGTTTGGCAGATCTGGCACTTGTCTACTATTTCTCTAATGTCAGCTGTCATTCCTTGCCAGAAAAAACTGTCTTTAGCTCTTCGAATTGATGCTTCGGCACCCAGATGGCTTGCATGAGTCATTTTTGCAACAGATTTTTTCTCATCTTGGTAGGTACCATGATTTTCTGTCCTTTGAATAAGACACAATTTTGAGCTGTTATTTCTTCTCAATAATTAAAGTGTTCTCGAATATTGATTGGAACTTCCGCTTTGGTCTCTGGCCAGCCGTTCTTGATCATCTCCACCAGTGTTTGGCTTTGGCTGTCCCTAGCTGTTGTTTGCTTCAGCAGGTACTGGGTTGGCTTACTAATGCTGATGCAGCCAGCTGTGTTTATCTGTTCAATTTCATAAATATCTTGTTTTCTTTCTCCTGCCCTGGTAGATATGCTCTGCTTTAACCAATCAGCTATGTACATCTTACTGCCTTGTAAATACTGGATGTGCAATTTATATTTCTGCAACATTAGCAGCATCTGTTGTAATCGTTGATGCTGTGGATATAGGATTCTTGTGTATATAGCTACCAAAGGCTTACGATCCATGTGCACCATGATCAATTTCCTGGCATAGATGTACTCATCAAATCGTTCACAGGCAAATAGTATAGTCACTCTTTTTGCACTTGAGCATAATTTTATAATAAAGTAAAGATATATAATTGTTGAAATTACAGCATTTATGAGGCAATGTACTGTAATATATGTAATATTTTATTATTAGTGTAAGGTTAGTTGTAAAGTAATGTAATGTAGTTGTATTAGTGCGATATACCGAAGTTTCAAAGTGCTTGCGGCTTGAATTAGCTTGCTTCTCCCTATGGTCGCCTTCTTTCAGTTAGCTGTGTAACATATGGCTATGTGACTATCTAGTCTCGGTTTCATACTCGCAACTTTCACAAAGTACATAAATAATTAAATAATAATTTCATACCTATTTTACCAATAAGTAAAACAATTTATCTTGGACATAGTTATACATAATAGCCTATTACAAGCCTACCAATTAACTCTCATGCAGTGGGGTTGCAAACCTACAAATCATTTTAAAAGTTAAAACATAATGGAATGGAACGACAATGTACAGGACTTTTCTCCTCCGCTTATTCAGTTGACGGTTCAATTCACCATGGGTAACTGACAACTAACGATTTCCAGTTGCTTGATAGTTGCCAAAGATCAGATCAGTTGAGTCGCAAGGGCCACATAAGCATTAGCTTTAGGGGATAACTTCTATCAAAATTAAAAAATTATCTTATGCATGTTTATTTGTTAATAAATAAAAAAAAAAAAAAAATGAAGGTTTACCTATTGATATTGGTATGTTTCTTTTCTCACAACAGTTAAGCCATCACCTAGGTTGAACTTCTTCCACTTCTCAGGAAATAGTGTGAATATATGAGGGTACTTAAGAAACTTCTTGTAAACCTTCTACTTGTGTGACGCCTTCGTCTGATTGTGTACAGAAAATATTAAGATCTAAAATTACTAAATTTAACAATATCACAAAGACACTTCAAAGCAATGAAAAGTGATCAAGAAATAACAAACAGAAACGTTTTTAAATTGCATACAATCAACTGACCTGGGGACAAGTTCATTGAGCACAGTAGTTCATTCCATAGTTGAGAGCAAGGAAACTGAAAAAGAGCAGCTGTCATAATTAATACAAATCACATTAGTAGTAATAGTAATAATGCAGCATAAAATAACATTATTAAAGATTATTATTTAAAATTAGGAAAATATCAATAATTATTGCCATTTGAAGGTCCTATTAAATTTGGCACATCTTAAGAAAGAGAAAATAACATAATAATAATAAAAATAATAAAATATGAACAATGATAATACTCCCATGTTCATACCTATAATTATTGTCTTTTTACGTTTCTATTACTCTATTCAATTGATGCTCTATGCACACTTTCACGCCTTTGGTCATTTATTTTGAAATTAGCACATAATAAATGTTTGTTAATTATTATAATTATTATTATTATTACTATTAATTATAACAATAATGATGATGATGTTAACAACTACAGCAGTAGCAGCTGCTGTTTTGAACAAACAGCAGCATAGCGCAATAAATCTTATGTAAAATTGGCCCATATGCATGTTGAAAACACTTGTTAAAAGAGAGCAGCTGAAGCCCACAATGTGTATTACTGCACTCATCTCGCAGATGTGTCTCTCCTTCCAATTTTTATCACTGCCAATTCTCTCCTGATATGTTGCTGTACTGCTGTGGGTCCCAAGAGGTCAACTGACATTAGTTACTTAACAGTGGGTTGCACCAAATTTGTGTTGCAGTATTTTACTTGTACTGTAGTTGCAGAATTAATTGTCAGTAATAACAACAGAAATATTTTTCCTGCAAAAATTCTTAAATCAATACCAGCCAGATAGGTCATGACCATACAGAAGTGTAACAGTACCTTTCCAGTAAATATTACAAAAGAAAACTTTGTTATATAATTATGTTTTAATTGATTGATCAAACATTATTCTCTCAGGCTTATTCAATTAACAGATGGCTCTCAAGAACTTGTGTTTGCTTCACTTGATTTTATTAAAATCAAATCCAGACTTAAGATACAGTATTTACAATGTAAATAAACAGTCTTCAATTCATTTAAATTCATTTCAACCAAGATTTTAACTAACTAATTGTAAATAAATATCCCAGCACTGACTCAGTGGCCTGCAGAATGAATATATAATGTCCTGTATACTTATTTAAAAAGTAAATGTTCTCTTCTGATGCATCACATTGACCTAGAGTCCTAACTATTTTATAACGTATTGAACATTTCGTGGCTCACATCACGAAATAACACAATTAAATTCAATTGTGTTAGTTCGTGAAATCAAAAAAGCGCGTCAAAATATGCGCTGTTGTCGTTAAGGACTTTTTGTGTGGTAAAGAATACAAAATTGCTTGACAACCAATACGTGCTCGTTTTGACGCGCTACTGTGATTTCACGAACTAACACAATCTACTTTGATTGTGTTAGTTCGTGATGTGAGCGACGATTTGTCTATGACATCACACTTCAAAGAAACTGTTGCAATAATATGGAGGCAGACGTACATGCCATATTTTTCATTGTAATTTGCTTTAATAACCATCGACAGGTTATCTGATCATGAGACAGAACTAGTTGTTTGATGTCACTGGATTATTTTTAAATTTCTAATTTTTTATTCTACTGAATACTGAAATTTTCACTATTTATCTTTTGCTTTTTGTGTTAACCCATTGGAAAAGGGTTTCAATCTTTCGATCACGAGGTTGGTAAACAAATTAACAAGTCATGATACACGGAAGAATTTCATCTATTCTTTAGTTGAATTAGTATACTGTGAAAGGTTATTTAATGTATAGACTAAATATTTTGATTTTATCAGATCAGATATCAGATTAGGTGTGATTTGGTGACACAGAGCCACCACTTGGCAAGCTGGAGATGTATCTTCCTATCTTCCTGTACATTCCAGTCACTTGATAATGATACAGTAGCTGCCAGCGACCGAAACTGTCATGTAATTTTCAAAACTTTTAGTCTACACAATAAAAAACCTTCCACAGTATACTAAGTCATGATACAGATTATAAAATCATAGGATAGATTAACCGATCATGAGACAACATGTTACAAGACAGGGTAATTACAGCTCATAGGACAAGTTTAACAGTTTATAAACCAGTTAAATAGATCATGAAACAATTAACAGGTCACAAGACATAATAAGAGATTATATGATGGTTTAACAGGTCATGAAGAAGTTAAACATGTCATGAGAACAGTTAGCAAGTCATTAGACAAGATTAACATGTTGTGCAAGAGATAACAATTCATGAGACAGATAACACTTAATGAGACAAGATTAAAAGTTCATGTGACTAAGTAACAGGTCATGTGACAAATTAGACACATTAACAGACCATAAGATGGATCAACAGGTCATGAAACATATTCACAGGTCATGTGACAGAGGTCATGTGACAGATTAACAGGTCATGAGACAGGTTTCATGTGACAGATGAATAGATCATGAGGCAGATTCACGCCAATAAGAGAGTTGCAAATGATTATTTTTAGTTTTCACTTTTCTGTTTTTTTGAAGCAACGTTTTGTTGAATGTCGAGTGGAAATGTGCGTTTCTCAATTTTTTTGTCTCGGATTTCCTCAAGTTCTAGAAGCGCTTCTGCAAACAAACTCTTCATAGCAGGAATCAGTTTCGGAAGAAGATGGACGTCAGACAATGAAACCTGCGAAAATACAATACAATAGCAATCATGATGATTCAAATTCTGAATATCAATATGATAGGATGAGGCTTACAGAATACCGATTTTTTCATTTATGAGAAAAAAAAATCTTGGATTTTCAAAGGAATTGGGCCTATGACCTTGAATTGGAAGGCAAGAATTTAACCCAAAAGCTACAGCTTAACTGAATATAGCACAATGTCAGACTGGCATATTATTATAATGGTGGTAAAGCTGCAAATCGTTGGTGAAATCATATTGAGATATTCACCAAAATAGGTCAACATTTTTACAAAATTTTGATTTTAATGTTTTGGAATAACTTGATACTTATATATTATGACTGTATACTTTTTGAGTGAATTTTCTTACTAAAACAGTGTTCTCTGCACATATTCGGTAATTCTAGTCCTATTATTGGTACAAGATTAGTTTATCTTTGAGGCAGATTTTCACGAAACATTGTTTTCATATTTTATGGTGAGACCTCACAAATGACATTAGTAAATATGAAAAATAATAGGTAGTGTCTATTGTTCCCAGTCGTAAACCACTTTAAATACAATATGTATGAACTGCATTTTATTGTAAGTTTGATGCTCTGAATGACTAATGTGATTTCCGTAAGGACAAATAAATTTGATTCTGATTAGGACAATAACGTCCAATCTGAATTAGGAATTTGATAAAAACTGGTGTGACAATAGCTACTGGCAAAATAATAACCTTCATATTGTCAAAGGCAACTGCTACTTTGTCGCTGAACTGGTCGCTGAAGAGCGGGATCTTGGAATAACGTTGGCTGAAGTGTGTCAGTAAGATGAACTTTGCCCTCATCTGTACACCAATGTCAATAGCTTCTGACGTCATACTATAACAATGAAGAGAAGCAAACACTCTATAACTAAAGCCCTGTCTATAGACTATCAAAGTTATCTGATAAAAATACGTGATATGCCTAAATATGGTCATGATGAGAGGATATCATGACCATATATAGGCACATCATGACTATATATGGGCATACAACAATCTTTTGTCAAAGACAATTCGGACAAAGATTTACATTGTTTTAAATGCGATTGTCATTGATATTATTGGGCCATTCACTCCTAAGCTACTACCTGTGTCTCTTCAGCCTTGCATCTTCCTCCATTCCATCCTCTAAGGTTGCCTCGTGTATCAGCAAATCAGCATCCATTCCTAACAAACATGCCAAGTAAAAAAGATACTACAATCAAAAACCTAGTGTGCATGATTCAGGTCTCTCTCCAATTAAAGACCACTTTTGGGACTGGGGTTTCCGTGGACTCAGCTTTGGTCTCTAATTAGAATAATAAAGATTATTGAAATGTGTTAATTTGGGACCACAGAATAGTGGTCTTTAATTGGAGGTGGTCCTAAATTGGAGGGGTCCTACATTGGAGGGAGACCGTAATTATGATAATAAATACATTTTGGACTCCAATTCAAAATCACTTTTAGTACCTTGGAATTTTAGGTGGTCTCAGTCTAAAATTGGAGAGTAGTCTTTGCGTTAAAAGAGAGCTTTGTGTTAAAAGTTATAAAATTTTCACACCAAAATTTAGATAGGAATATAAGGTAAAAAGGATGATGATGAGGAAGATGATTACAATAATGACAGTGAAGAAGATGGTGATAATGATTGTGGATGATGAAGATTTCATGATGATGATACTGCTGCTGGTGCTGATGAAGGTGATGATGGTAGTAGTGGCGATAATATTTGTTGACAGTGTGGTGAGTATAATAATGATGGTGGCAATGATGATGATGAAAACAATGATAATCATGACTTCTATTGATTATGCTTATGATAACAATCTCAACTTTTCCTTACCTGCCTCTACAAGAGCTTGGCATGGCATAGTATCCCCTGAATATACTATCTTCCAGCCATCTTGGTGAGTGATGGCAACTCCATAAGCATTTGCACAGTGGATCACAGGCACAGTTTCAAACTAGATAGTAAAAAAAGAAAAAAACAGGTGAAAAAACTAGACCAAAACCACCCAGTAAACACTCAGCGGCAATAAAACTAATCAATGAAAAACCAAATGTTTTTATTTTTCACTAAAAAAAATTGCCATTCTCTGTATACACTTTTTTTTTTACATTTTAGTTGGTAAACATTTGCGTAATATTTTTTTCTAAACATGCCTACTTTTTACCAAGCATTTACTCATTTTTGTTTTAATCATTTTTTGAAATTAACATGCTCATTTTGAAATAGCATAAAAATTATCAAGTTGAACATATAAATTAAAAAGACTTTTATAAATGTTTACCACTGGAAGTGTTTTATTATTTTTATTATCCAGTAAAATTTATTTTTTAATTCAATAATTTCAATGCTCAAGTTAATAATTTTTATTTGTATGCAAAATGAGCAAGTTAATTTCAAAATAATTTTTATAATTTTTTTTATCATTATCAGGGAACAATACATCTTTAACGCACACTATTTTTAGGCTGAGAAGACTTATATTAATTTTTCCTCAGCATTTCTACCTTGTTAAAAGTCTTTTCTCTTTGGCTGCTACAAAACTTTAATGTTCATTGATAACAATTGGTTACTACAAGACTTTCTTCTATTTACTAACCACTCCTACCTTAGTAAGGTTGAGTTTCTTCAGCAATGCCTGTCCTTGCCTTGGAATGTTATCTTGTTCTTTGGAAAAATCTTTTAATTCTATAAACCTAAAAAATTAAAATAAATTAAATTAAATTACAATGTAATTTATATTACAGTTATCAAAAAAAAAAAAAAAACAAAAAGCAAATCTATTAGAAAAGAAACTTATAGATACACATTCGTCAATCTTCAAACCACAAAGGTGGCTGTGGTTGATAAAATGGCTAGTATTGTATACAAGACCTTTTTTATAAATTGTTTAATGAACCTGCCACCACCAATAATGATTGCAAATAAAAAATAAATTGTAGACTCAATAGCAATTATATTAAAATAAATCATTTTTCATGTTTGCTAATTGCTGCGAAGCAGCCAATTTATATTCTTGACAGCAATTTGACCTCTGAAAGGTCATTGTTTGTCAAAAAACGAGTGGCTAAGACGACTGAAAAGCGGAGTTTCCTTCGTTACTATTGGCCAATTTGTGCACCTGCCGCCACAAAAAATGGAAATGTCAGAAAAAATAATAAAGAATTTTTTTGTATTTTTATTATGCCTGCTGCTGTCTTGAAATCTCCAAAAATAAGATATGAATATTTCTTCCTAATTATATAGATTTAAAGCATTTAACCATCCTATTACCACACTGTTTGCATTTACCAATAAAATTGAATTTTTATTTTCTCCTCCAACTGGATGTGTTTGGCAACACTATTTGCTAAATACGAAAACAGAATTTTATTTCCATTTTTTCCGCCCACCTCTGTAAAAAAATAAGTTCACGAAACAAGGTATTTAAATACTATACCTCAAGTTGTCTATTTAGTAAAAACCTAATTAACTTGATCTTGGATTTGAGAACTCAACAAAATAATGGGGTGGTCTTTCATAATTAATGCCCTTCAAAAAGGGAAGTAACCATACATTCATCGTCTTTCTAAGTTACCATTCACAAAATATACCTACCTAACTTTATGGATAAAATCTTCACAATTCCTATTGTATTGGTTTAACCAGATGAGTAAGCGCTTAGGACCGACTAACATTAAATCTCTGTCTTCTGCCCCTCGACTTATCTGAAAAAAAACCAAAAAACTATTGGTTAGAAAACCATAAGTGTATAAGTTGCTCATTGTTCTCCATTTGAATTATTTAAAATTCATTTGATAGCGGCTGTACTCTTAAAACCAAATATTAATGTTCATTTTTTTTTTAAATTTGTTCAATCACATTAAACAGGATAATAAAAATGCAGACCTGATCATAAAAATGAATATATAATTTCTTTTGCAAGGCCTCATTATTACATTTGAAACACGTCAATATAATGTGATTTGTAATAATTTGACTTTCAAGATCTTATTATTTTACATTTAAAAAAATAAAATATCAATATATCACATCACATTTCATATATATACAACTTAAAAACATTCAAATTATGAAACATATTTTAAAGAGCAATTTACTATAGTAACATCAAATAATTTTTTCAACACTATTTCAAATAAGCATACTAAAACACAAACTCTCTAACCTCCAGTAATTGAAGGTTGAACAGTGTTTCCCAATATGTGAGGGGGGGGGGGAAAGAGGGGTAATAATTACATTTAAAGCATAAAATGGTTATATAAATTTGGTTTTAACATGTACTAAATGTATTCTCATGCAATTTCAGCATTTTAATGCTGCCAGTTGAGATAAAAACAAGTTCTTGTAATACTGAAAGCTCCAATGAGGGCAGTATAATAGAGGCAGTATAGCTAAAAAAGATCTATTAATCAATCAGCTGAGTGTTTCTAGAGCCCTCATGAGGGCAGTATAATAGAGGCAGTAGATCTAAAAAAGATTTATTAATCAATCAACTATAAATCAATCAGCTTCATGAGGGCAGTATAATAGAGGCAGTAGAGCTAAAAAAGATCTATTAATCAATCAGTCGAGTGTTTCTAGAGCTTCTCATTGGAGCTAAAAGTTGAAGAATTAAATTGAATATTAATTTATTGCAATATACTGTAGTAAACATACCATCACTTGCTTCCAGTGACGCAGTATCTGAACAAGGCCCTATTAAAAAAACATAAAACCATCAAAATATCAAGCAAATTTATTATAAAAACTTAACTTATTTTCTTTAAACCTAGTATGATTCGATGTACAGGACAGATATAGATTCTTTGAAGTTTCATAATGAGGTTAAGAGGGCGGTCATATCTTTTCAAGATGGCAATACACTATTTAAAGTTTAGGAAGTCTCAAATAGAGGGCAGTGTTTGCATTGCAGAAAGGAACTGTTTGATGCTGGACAAAGTTTCAAAATGAGAGTGAGAGGGCGGTCTTGTCTTTACAAGATGGCGATACACTATTTGTAGCAAAGACAAGCCAAACCAGTCACTTGTCTTTGGAACATTTAAAGTTAAGAAAGTCTCAAATAGAGGGCAGTGTTTACATTGCAGGAAGAAGGATATGAACTGTTTTAATGCTTGAAAAAGTTGACTTAAAATTGTAAGAAAAACTTCTAAAGGGTTTGAACCCAGGACCTTGTGAGTGAAAGGCAGACACTAATTTATAGCTTCCCTTTGTAAAAGATAAAATTGATGATTATGAAAACCCTGATTTCGAGAAGAAATGATAAAAGGAATAAAATAATGATGCCTGAATAAGATAAATGTATGATGAGCATGATGATGAAGATGATGGTGTTGATCACAAATGACAATGATGTTGCTGATAATGATGGTGATGTTGATGCTCATGTTAATGATGAGATGCTAAGGTTGATGATGATAAAGATAAAAATGATGATGATAGAAGGATGTAATGATAATAATAGTAATGAAGACGATGAAAATGATGATGATGATGATGATGATGATGATGATGATGATAATGATGATGATAATGATGATGATGATGATGATGATGCCAAGGATGTGACAATGGCAATGATAGTGATACTGATGATGACAGTGGTGGATTCAAGAGAGGTAAAGCAAGCCGGTCCGGGCACCACACAACATACTAAATTTTTCAAAATTATTAAAAACAAAGAGAAAAAGAAAGGAAAATATTTATCAAATTTTAGGTCTGCAGGTGCCATTTCCAGCCCATCTAGAGGTGCTATAGTTATAAATTTTCTAAACCTCAGCCCCATGTTTTTTATAGACTCTCCATCTGTGAAAATCCCTCCTTCGCCCCTCTATTTTAAATTGCTGGATCCACTACTGGTTGATGATGATGATTATGATGTTAACCAAGTATGTGATGTTTATGTTGATGATGATAAAATATAGTATTATTTACAAAGGCTGTATTCGACTGGTCGTTCTTCGTTAAACAACACCCACCTGCGCAGTGGTAAAATCATACTTAATGAAGACGACCAGTCGAATAGAAAACTGGTAAAATACTCGACGAAACAAAATGGCTGCATAGAATACCGTGATACACGCTGCGTAATCAAGGCTGCTTCAGATTGTGGCAGTATGGGTTTTTCGTAAAAAAATGTTTTCATCCAGTTTTTGAATTCTGTTAGCCTACAATTATTTTTTGACTTCAATATAGGTAAATATTATAATTTTTATTTTCTGAAATTTAATCTAAATTATATTAACACAAATGTTGCTAAACTGACCATTCGGCCATATTTATTTTGGTCATGTACATAACTTAACGCTGATTAACGTATTCTGGTTACGTTAATTTTCATTGTCAACAAAGTCTATTTTACGAACCAGTCATTTAATGAAACTAATACTCAACAAAAATTCATACTCAACGAAATGAACCAGTCGAATAAGCCCAATGATATTGAGTAGGCGGACAATAAAAACATAGCAAACTCACAACATGATGATCAGCATGTATATGTGAGATGAAGACACAATGAAGTTTAAACAAAACATCTTCAACTTGGTTGCTATAGAAACGACACATTTGAGCAAATGACCCTTCGCCTGCATCTAATATCATTGTCTGATCTTCACTAAAATATAAAAGAGACAATAAAAATTAAATGAAAATAACAGTTTGTGAATTGGGTCATAAAAAGAAATGCGAGAAACATTTAGATCTAGTGAGTGATCAAGTGGAAATTCATATTAATAGATGACCTGACCTTTACTGAATCAATAGAGGTCTGACATAATGTGCTATATATAGATAACAGGGCTGGGAAAGTAGACAAAAAACCTGTAAATTCAATTAAGAGACAATGGACATAGTGGCATAACTGAAGGAGGGGGTGGGTGGGTTGAGGGTGAGGAAGAAAATGTGATTGTAATAACATTGACAGAAGGTAGAGTAGAAGGTTTTTACACATTTAGTGAGTGAACACATCAGATAGACTGAGAAACTATTAAACAAACTTGATTAAAAAGTGACCCTTTTTACTCAAGTTACCTTAGATTCAACAAAACACAGCTAACATTTCTCTCCTTATTTGGCATTGCTGAGCCTGTTCCTAGAAAGAGTACTTCTGGGTATCTAACTGTTCTTTGCTGTGTCACATTACTTGCTTGATCCGATTTAAATAATTCTACATTTTCTATAAAATGTTCAATTTCTTTTGCAGCTTCTACATATGACTTCATATTTAAAGTTGGAACAAAACTCCTAAAAAATAAAGCAAGTGAGGGGTAAAAAACTAAATAAATATCAATATATTACTAATAGTAATGTTTCTATACCATTATTTGTATACCATTATTATTTATATACGCCATGTATCTGGTCTATTTTGAAACGGTGCCACATTTCACTGGGGGACATCCAGCCAGAGCGCCTTGTCATTCACAAATTTCTTTTTTCCAAGACACATATCTTCTTTTGAGCACTTCTACTACCAAAACCACTGCAGGTTTTATGTGCCCTTATTTTCTTTTTTTTCCCCCTTTTTGGCATTTTTTTTTTCAAAGACTAGCCTAGGGCTAGGTTAACTCGCTACAACAAGAAGGTTGTTCACCAGTCAAAGCACTTGTAACTACATAAAGCAAAATGTCAAGGCCTTTGGATGTTCCTCTGTGGTAGTTGCCAGGTTCTCGGAAATTTTCCTTTCAAATTTAGCGAAAATAGTGTATTGTGCATGGTATGTCCTCTGTGGTAGTTGCCAGGTTCTCGGAAATTTTCATTTCAAATTTAGCGAAAATAGTGCATGGTATGTATCAAAATTTAATCTCATTATCAGACACACTTTGTTCTAGGGTCACAAATTGAAAAGTCCTATTAATATAGTAGATATAGAGAAATTCTCTGCAGAATGTTTAGTAAAGTTAAATGAAATCTCACAAAGAATGTTAAATTTATTACTTTAAGTACAAGAAGTATATGGAAATTCCATAGTTGCTATAGATGTACGAAAATAGACAAATGTACAGTACTTTTATTTTAAATTTTTATCCATTTTTATAATTTCAACATTTAAATATTATGACCTATGATATTTTTGTTGATAAATAAATATTTTTTAAAGTTGTTATTGTAAGTTTCAGCAATTACTTACCTGTCGAAACCGGTTGAAGGCCAAATGTGATATCTCAGGTATGTCTCGCCTTTGACAACATTCAAGCCATCACCCAGGCTGAAGTCTGTCCATTTAGGCTCTGGGAGTAGGGTGAATATATCAGGGTGCATGAGGTTAAGCTTAGCTTGTAGGCCTCTTGCTGACTCATGTGATGCACTCCTCTGACAGTGGTTCAATATCAGATGCTCAGCCTCGGAGTGAAACCTAAAAAATATGAATGGTGTACTGATAATTTCATGATTTAAGGAGTGATTCCGTGGCTTCATTAAGCGAAACTTTTTTGATACCTTGTTTCGCGAACTTGCTGCCTGCAAATATTAATTATTTCAAATAAAAATAAAATTTTATTTTTGGCCAATACACCTGCCACAACAAAAAAATACAAATTTCAAAAAAAAAAGTTTTCTTTATTATTATTATGCCTACCGCTGCCTTAAAATCTCATGCAAATAAGCGTCAGGGCGCTTAAAATATTTTTGGCTTTTTTTAAGGGGCGCTTATTGAAACGCAGCGCATATGAAAACAGAGTTTAAATTGAGGGGGCGCTTATGAAATAAGACGAAAATTTAAAGGGTGCTTATGGGAAATTGGAAAATTCAAGGGGCACTTTTTTTTAATTGAATGTAAACGAATGGTTTTGGTGAAGTAAAGGTAATCGTTAAGAGAGCATGGCTCATGACAAGAATGTTAGGGGTATTTACACAACAGCAGATGAAATTAGTAGTGGCGGTAAGCGTGTTGGCCATCTGCCAATTCAGATTAGCAGGATCATTGCAGGGTTTCTTGCTTACATACGAGAGTGATGAGGTCATGTTATTTTTGTTGACTGAAAATGGCAATAGTAGTTATAAATCCAAAAAGGGTAGCAATAAAACAAGAATGGGATTGTAAAAATGCCTCAAAACTGAAAAACGTGTTAAACTTAATGGAGACTGATAGACTGACAGATGGAAAGATGGACTGACCAACTGACTATGCTGGGATAGATGCGAATAGTTAATGCAGAAAATTAAGTTGGTGATGTACTCTACATTAATTGTAAAGTCTCCTGCATATAGTCCATTGTATTTTTCAGTACTGTATGATTGAATTTTTTTATCAATCGAGGGGCGCTTATTCAAACAGGGCGCCAAGTCAATTTTCAGGTTAGGAGGGGCGTTTATACAATAGGGGTGCTTATTCGCGCGAGTATGGTATGTTGTATATTTCTTCCTAATTATCAAAATTTAAAGCATTTAATCTTTACTACACTGTTTACACTCAACAATAAGATTTTATTTTCTCATCCATCTGGATATTTTTGGCAAAACCATGCTAAATATGGAAACTAATTTTTCTTTTTATTTTCTTCCACCGACCTCTGATGATTTTTAAACAAATAAGTTTGCAAAACAAGGCGAAACATATCAAATACACTATGCAGTTTTCTCAATGCACTGCGAGGAGGCAAGATTTAAAACACGCGGCAATAAAAGCCGAGCTAAAATTTCCTTGTGCCCTGCAAGCTGTATTCACTAGGAACGTACCTTTTCATCCAATCTTTATACCGTGAATGTTGGAGAACTTCAGTTGGTGTGATGTGAATAATGAGCCTTGAAGAATTCTCTCCATTTCCTGCCTGACAACTAATTAAGAAGAGTTATTGATAATGACCGCATGAAAGCAAAACATGACATTTTATATAATGTCGATAACCAAAATACACTTTATCTAAGGTACAAATAATAATGAAATATAACAACAAAAATAATATAAACATAATAAAAACCACAGGAACAACTTCAACAACAATAAAAGGGGTTATTCACAATTATCAACAGTTTCACAAGTGTACAAACAGTACGTCAAGGGGTAGAAAAATTTGTACACTTTTACATATGCATGAAAATGTTGTTTTAAAATAACATGTAATATTTAAAATAATATATTTTAATGACGAATTATAATAAAACCATGGATACATTTTTAAGTACTATAACAAAGTACAGTACTTTAATTGACTTCCCAAAAAAATGGAGAATGGTTTGGCAAAGTCAACATTTATGTACACTTTCAGATAATAGGAAAGGGTTGGGTACCCTACTAGTAATTATAATTTTTTTTTATCATATAATTCATAATGCCAAAGATTCTATTCATTTCCAATTATGGTCATTTGAACAAATTCCTATGAAACATATTTACTCAATTCCCAGGGTATCAATTTGGGTAGAGAGAGACAATGTGGAAAAGTGTTTTGCCCGACAGAAACAAATTAACGAGTTTGTAACATTATTAAAGTGTCTAGTGAATTTACATCCATAGAGATTTAAGGATGAAATTGTTTGCAAAAGTACAACAGGTCATGTAATTGTGCGTCATGTGACATCATACCTTTGTAAATCCTTATTATTGCACAAAGAATCAAGAAACTCAACTGAAGGACACTGGAGCACTAAAAGACAAATATCAATAATGATTTCAATAATAATTATTTATTGTATAATTTTTTTTAAACAATGTTGGAAAATTTGTGGAACTGGAGCACTACAAAAAACAAACATTATTATAATACAATCATAAGTAATTATTGTATAGTTTTGAAGACAATGTTGGAAAATTAGTGACACTTAGGAGCCATTATTGCTTGAAAATGAATAGCCTATAGTCCTATATGCTTTCAGGCATATATTTTAACAATTATAAATGTTTTAAGTTACCATATTCATATGCCAGGGCATTTATTTTTGAGAAGGGTTTTTAAGGAGGTGTTTATTTGAGGGAGTTGTTTATTTTTTTTGTGTGTATAATGGATATACTCAAATAAATGGCCCATAATTTCACTGTAAATATTAAACTACAACAAATAATTACTGTCCAAATGTGTTATTGGTGATCATAAAGACCTACTGATCCTAACCAGGTTAGAAATAAGTAATCGACTGGAGCATTAATAGAATGTGTTGAGAATGTGTTTATTCCAAATGAGGATCTACAGGGTGCATTTATTCGAAAGTGGGGAGGGGGCGTTTATTGAAAGTGGGGCATCGATTGAATAAATATGGCATAATAATAATAATAATAATAACAACAACAATAATAAAAGTCAAAATCTAACCTATAAATGGGTAGCTAGGGACATCAGGACCGAGAACATCATCAGGATGAATCTAAAGAACAAAAAAAAATTCAGAATGTATGGATTAGAAGCTTCACATACAATGATTTCATGCTTGGCACCGAATGTTGACACCTAAATGAAGAGCGCCCCCTCTAGTTGCGCAAGATAATAATTTCATACAGCTTCATTTGCTTTTGCTTTATTATTTCCTGCCATAGTGATCGCTGCCATGTTGATGAGATACAACATAATGCCCACAACAATTTACTTCAATCCATGATACAAGCATTCAAAAAACACACACCAAAATGGCTTCCTCAAATAAGTCAACAATTCTGACTCTGATTACTTAAACATATATATAATTATATCCATTTAACAAAGATAAAGTTATCTGTATATGCATTTTGGCAACATTAATAGCATTACTCATTAGAAGAATCCATAACCAACGTGATAATTAACATTATAAATCACTGTCAACGTCTCTTAGATGGAATCGTCCATCACAACCAAGGTCAACTCAAGCAGTTAACATTCATTCAAAAAACAGCGACAAAAAAAAAGATAAATGTTATAACATATGAATCACGCAACGTGATAACAGTGTGTTTGGATATTCCCATCGCTTCCCCCCAGTGACTTGTGATGTGATTTGTGCAATATCGTTCAACTCGCTGGCTTTTTATACACAAATGTGTTATTAACGCATGGACAAATTGTTGTAATACAGGAACTGGAGTTAACCTAAAAAATTATGGAAATAAAATGTTTCTTCCTTAATTTCTTTTTTTTTTTAAATTTTACTTTCATTTCATATCATTTATATTTATCTTTATATTTATACTTATCTTAAACAAGCTTAACAAACAAAACAAGAATTACAATTGAAAACGGTGCTGAGAAGGAACTCCTAAAAGTAAACTGAATTGCCTATTGAAATTAGTGTCCCTGAACACTGTAACAAATAAAAACATTCTACAAATTTACGCAGAGGGTAAATGCTAGAATACGCGCCACAGCGCTTATAACATTTTTGGAGGCTTCAGTGCGGCGCTTATGATTTTATTGTATTTTAATGTATGTGAGGGCCCCAAATGATCAGCTTTGGTGGATGGGCTACCCTTGTGAAATATGGTTAAATAAACAAATTAAAGGGAGGCAATTACAAAAAATATTGGTGTGGCACTTTCCATGCTCATTCCCATGTTACCTATCTCGCGTATTCCTGTATTTTGGTAGGCCTATCATAGGTCCTACGCCACCGTAAATAAATGTTTATAAAGAATTGCTTTGTGTCTTTATCGTGTTATTTATTCATTTTAATGCTGTATACATTGTGTTTACAATCCTGTTTCATTACACAAAGGGTAATATTATATACTGGCATGGCACCGCTTATTCGAGAGCAGGGCTTAACAAAAAATATCACCTTTGGTGCGTTACTTATGTTAAGCATACCTTTTAATTTGTCCTCGGGGGAAAAAAAAATACAAAAATACACCTATCAGCAACGAGATAAAATAAAAATTCAGTCAGATTAATTATGAGAGGATTGTTAAGATTTTCTATAACCTGATAAAAAGTTGGGGGGGGGGAGGTTGACATGAGATAAATTGACATGAAGGGGGAGGGGGCAGATGACAGATCAGTGGAAAAGCAACAGAACATTAACCGGTGATAAGAGGGGTGTGAAGTGCCTGTGGGATCTTTTTTACCTGGGTGTGTGCAAACCATTCCCCTATTCAAGTATGCCACTGCTTATCACTTTTGGTACCGTAATATTTTCCCCCATATATTTGGAATCCTGGAGCCCCTGATTACAATGTTAAGCAAATATTATTACCATCCAAATATAGCCCTTACCTCAACTCCAGCATCTGTCTTAACTGAAAGTCCTCTTTTTAAGTCTGTATACTTTGGTCCTCTGTTAAAAAAAATGTTTTAATAAGATTGGAGAGAGTAGTAAAAGTAAAAGTTTATGGTGAAGTTTTTAAGTCATTGGAAATACAAGCAAGTAGCAAGCTGTGTATTTTGTCTGTGCTCTATATAAATTTAATATATTAAATAATAATGCAGGAAAACATTTCTGGTTTTTTCTTGGATGAAACATTAAGCTATTTTTCACATTGTCATAACTGGTGTTATGAAAAGAATAGAAAACTTGCATTATTTTGAAAAAAAAATTGGGGCATATACTAATATTTGCTTTTATTATTATTCCACCAATCAGCAAGTTCTCACTTTCCAATCATATAATAATTTTTCTGTTTGGAGTTTCTGCAGATATTATTCTCCTGATGACGACTGAAGCACCTCAACGGACACATCAAGACATTCTCAACAAGAACAACAGTTCTTTTCAGAACTACCTACGTGGTATATCAATACATTTTATTATTATTATTATTATTATTATTATTATTATTATTATTATTATTATTATTATTATTATTAATATTTTATAGGATTTATATAGGGCACATTACCAGAACACTGCTCAAGGCAATTTTTTCGTTTGGAAGTCCAACGCCTTACACACAGGATTCTCCACATGGGATGCAGATCTACTTTGACATTAATTTTTTTTACTTTTTGGTTATTCCGCCGGCCCTTGTGGGGAATCAGAGACCAACATTTACTGTATCGTTTTTGTTCTTCCGACTGTTTTTATAATTTTATTGTAATTATTTTCGGTAAAATAAATGAAATTAAATGAAACACTGCGCCACACACAAAACAAAAAATATTTTCCATAGCAAAATGAGGGTGTTTGCAACATCATCAAGACAACAAAGTAATGAAATAATTAAACTGTACATTTAAATAGACCTATAAACCTAATACACATTAGATAAAAAATAGAAAAATTGGTTAGTTTGTCAAGTATTTGTTATACTATGAAAATATAGTTTTGAGTAATAATGCAAACGCGAAAATCAATGTAATTAAATTAATTTTTACAAATTTAACATTAGCATAGATTTTTATTTGACTATCAAGAACAATAAGGAGTGTAATAATAAAATACAAAAAATATAGTAGACTTTTTTTAATTGGTTGTTTCTTTACTCTATGGAATAATAAAATACAAAAAATATAGTAGACTTTTTTTAATTGGTTGTTTCTTTACTCTATGGAATAATAAAATACAAAAAATATAGTAGACTTTTTTTAATTGGTTGTTTCTTTACTCTATGGTTTCTCAAATATCTCACTTTGCTATGAAATATATTTAGAAGATAGATGATTGCAAAGTAAAGCAATTTCATTAAAAATCTAATGAAACAACCTATCCTTGTAAGAACCATTTAGGCCTCACAGACAGAATGAAAATCCCTTCGTCTAGGCCTTGACGCAATATTTCTATAGTTTCTACAAAAACGATTAACCTTAAGACGACTTGTGTGCTTGCCTACGGATGTGTCATTTAATACTTTTACGCAAAAGAAATTGTGATGAGAAGGTAGCTGGTTATTCTAGGTCAAATTATCAACAATTTATCAAAATCATGAGATAATCATCGCAATTCTTTGTCCATTACCAACTATTTTTCTCATCAACGTTACATTTCCTAGCTAAATAGTTAACAACTCCTATCATGCCATTATGTTTAATTGCATTTAGCATACATTTTAACACAATTAAGTTTCTTAAAAACAAAATATTATAACATAAAATTGTAGTAACTATTTTGACGGCCATATCTCTGGAGATGGATACTAATAATAGTGCAGTGAGGCGATATTGTTGATTTCTTCTCACCATTGTAAGTTCTTTTTAATTTCTTCTGGCATTCTTAAGTCCAGATTCAATGGAGAGATGTTACAGCGAGCCTCGCTAAATAATTCCCAGAAGACACTGGAATTGAGTTCAAAGTTAGGAACCAAATGTTGCATAAACACAACAAGTGTTATTGCAACACATCTGCATGAAAATCATGTTAGGCTTGCAAATTTTGTCGAATTTTATTTGCATCTTCGGCACCAGATTGCTTGATGAGAGAATTAGAATCGTAGATTATGATCGGCGCAGACAGCAGAAACACTCATCCTGTGAAGACGCAAATTTATTGCTACTGTATATAATACAACGATAAAAACGAGTACTTACGGAGGCAGGCCTAGAGCTAAAGCTTTCTTCACAATTAAACTTCTTGGCCGTTTATGGACCTATCAAACAAGAAAATATAGGTGCAAAGAATGAGTGCGATTTTTAATAATATTTATTTAAGTCTGTGTAGTATGATGTTGGTCATTTCACAGAACCACAAATGGACACAAAATACAGATGTACAGTAGTATAATGGTTAAGATGATTGGTTCCTAATCTTAGGGTCCTAGGGTTCAAATCCTTCAGATAGTCTATAGGGATTCTTAAAGATGTCTAAATCAGCTCCACACTCCCTTAAGCCTTAATTTCAATTAACTATAATGAACCTTTTCTCAGTTTTAATATTTATAAGGAATTAATTAAAAAAATAAATAACATGAAAGAATTAATAGCTTTTGGCATTAAAATGTAGCCCTACCTGTTGCACTGAAGTATGTTTATGTATTGTTTATTTTTATGTGGGGGACTTTTTGCATTTGAATAAAAATATACAAAAAATAAATTATATTCCATTCTTCAGTCAATTCTACTTACACACAAGGTACAGTATCTATGAATTCTTGAGAAATACTATGTTTTCAAATAAAGGTGTTAGTCAACATAAGATGTTTACCTATAGATGTGTCTCATTCATGATGATGTAACTGTTCCTGAACACACCTTCAAATGTATTAATCCCCAACCTTCTCAAACATTAAATATATATGCATAGAATATGCTTACCTTGCAGATGTAGGCTACTGTGAGATTAGCAAGCGAAGACGACCTCATTTTCTTTGCACCTGGATAACGAATCAATCAATCAACCTTTTAGCCGACAATCTTTTAATAATTCACACAAAAAACATTCCTTAATAGATCAAAATAGAATTCGTTCCACCAACCGCTCAATCAACCACTCAGTACATGCAACTTATCATGAATCAATCACCATATCTAATTTGCATAATGAATTTGCATATCTATCACAGGTGAAAGATCAATCATTGAAATGCACTAGTCTGCCTATCAATCAAATAATCAGTTATTAATCAAATCAGAATTCAAATCTTATTCATACATATTTTTCCACATTTTTATGTATTAAATTTTCATTAACTCAAATTGCATCATCAAATGCTGAAAGAATATATTTACAAAGAATACATTCATATATAAATCATGACTAAAAAAAGGCAAAGACAGAAAAACACCACAGATGCGTAAAAATCAAACAAGACAAATGGAAAAATGGCCAGTTTTTAGTGAAATTAAGAAAAAAATTTTAAAAATTTCAGTTTTGAGTGACCTATGACCCTGTCATTTACCATAATTTCGCACAGTACAGTAGAAGAGAACCCTCAACACATGCCAGCATAAAAATAAGATGCTAATAAGGATACTGACTTTATTAAATAGGTTATATTTTTTGGAAGGTGCTGTAAAATTGCAAGTGACCTGTCCATCACCAAAATTTATTTTTTGTTGTATGATTTCAAAATAATTTGAAGAGTTATTTGAGGAACCAAGCCAACAGATGATGCTGGCCATGTTTAAAATGGGGAAAAAATATTATGTTACTCTTTTCATCAACAATGGAAGATGCTACCTGCAGAACTCTGCCTAACACTCATGTCAGAGATAACATCGCTCAGAGGGCTGACTGTGCTGACATCATCATCTGGTGAGTTCTTCAAAGACTGAGTGGCAGCATTCTGTGACATCTCTCCTGAAGGACCTGCTGCTATATTAGATAAATCAACTGCAGTGTCACAATCAATTGGATCTTTCTTTTCTTTCGTTATTGCATCTACATCACCGTCTTCAGTCACTGCTGTTGGTTCGTTCAGAGTTTCTGAATATGAATGACTATCGGTGTCAATTGTTGATTTACTTGTTTCTGATTGGTTGCCTGTGAAATAAACAAATCTAATAAAAACAAGTTAAAGAAAATTGTTAAAATTCACTCCTGTACTGATACTAAGATTAACCCTTTCCAGTCGTATGGCGTCGTGACGACGCCCTCTTTGACCATACTTTATAGCGAGGGGCATTGTACGTACGCCCTGTAGAGATTTCATGATAATTATTTTATAGCTAGGCTGCCCTCTATATGATTTTTTGAGAGTAATGTAGGAGTATTTCTGTAGAGGGCCTCCTGTATTCAGACCAAATAAAATGCCTGCACCCAGTAAAAACCCGACATTTAATGTAGATGATGTAATTTCTCAGCTTTGGTACAGCCTCAGGCAATGGTAATGGGGCAGACTGGAAAGGGTTAAGATTGGATGTATTTGAAGTATTAACCAGGAAGGCCAGATTCAGTGGGGCATTCTGGTGGTGATTGGGCAGTAGACTGGGAAACATTATTTTTTCTTATGACTAATAAAACAACTCCACTCCCTAAGCATCATAAAGACACTTAGTTTATAAAGCATCATTCCATCCTGTAAATGGCAATTGTACTTGCCATTGGATGTAAACAAAATAAATTAATTAATTCAAAAGAGTAGTAGTACATCAACAATTAAGGAGGAGGATATTAAAATGCTATTAAGAGGATTTTAGATGTGGATTTGATCAAGGTTATTTACATTACTGCAGTTATGTAACCGATTATTACAGAGTTTTTTTGTGTTATTATAATAATATTATAATAATAATAATAATAATTACAGTAATAACAATAATTATAGCCTTATCCACCGTGTGCAATCTTGTTTTCTTGTGATTCTAAAGTTGATTTGTTTTTGTACCTTTTTAATGTCCTTATCGGATTTTGTAATTTTTTGCCTTCATTTCTGTGATCCAGACATGACCTAGGCCTGTTAATATTTTTTTCCATTCTGTATATTTTTATGTCTTAATGAATAAAGTAATTTTATACATATCAATAACAGTAATAATAATAATAATAGTAATAATAATAATAATAATAATAATAATAATAATAATACTGTATGTTACATAAAGATATGATGCAATATACTTTATTGATGCAATATACTTTATTGTTATTTACACCACATGGTATTAATGGATAGGTGCATTAAATGTGAGGAATTGCAATCAATGTACATAATGATTCTTCCTGAAAATTAATATCGATGATACAACATGCTATACAATTTTCATTAAATCCTACTATCAAGGCTAAAGGTATAAAATTCATCAAAATAATGGTATGTAATTTTGTCTATTAAACCTTTCATTTATGTGTAAAACACATCAAGGCTATTTGTACCATCAGCACAACTTTGTTATTGTTATCGTCACTAAGGTATTTGCTTTAATACTTTTTAATGTATAGGCGTGGAGGTTTTTAATATCAATAATTATTCATACAATATTTAACTACCGGTATACCTAAATAGGAAATAGTACAGTAGAAGGTTGGAAAATAATGTCATAGTTAAAAAATGGGAAAAATTTATATCATATGTATATAAAAACTATAAATCCCTGGCCAGACTATCAAATTTTATTTGACAAAAACATGGGATATGCCTAAATATGGTCATGATGACATCACAACATGACCATATATAGGCACATCATGACTATATATGGGCATACAACAGTTTTTTGTCGAATAAAATTTGATAGTCTGCACAGAACTCTAGGCCAGTATAAAATTGCGATGATCCAGAATGCAACGAACTCTACAAGAAACTGCTCACAGCATGTTGGAACACAAAGTAGATTGTGTTAAAGTAGTTTGTGAAATCATAAATTTCATTTTTCATTAAGCATATTTCTTGTCAAGGATTTTTGTATTTTTTACCCAAAGTCTGTGAAAACATGGGGTTCACAACAACAGCGTACATTTAAATGTGTTTTATTGTTTTCACAAACTAAATACAAACTATTCTGGTTGAGTTAATTAAGTGGTGTGAGCAAACAAAATGAGAATCTTGGATGCAAACATGCACCTCCCTCCAGGATGCAAACATGCACCTCCCTCCAGGATGCAAACATGCACCTCCCCCTTTGATGCAAACATGCATCCATAAATATAAACTGATTGAACTTCATCGCTAGTCAAAGTTGTTTTTAGTGTGGAGAGCCAATTAATAGGTTTTTACTTTTTGGTGACCTCTGAATTGCAGTAATCAATTCATTTCATGTTTCGTCAATAGATTTTTTTTTTTTAACCTTCCTAAATGCTTTTAGTAAAAATCATTTCTGGGAAACAAACTTTTTAAACACTTTTCTTGATGTTTAAAAATAGGGTTCACTATAAAACAAGGTATAAAAGAAAATAGTTTAGGCCACAATATTACCTACCAAAGATAGCAACTGGTGTAACTGACATAGAATTTGTGTTAAAAAGTCCATCTGTGTAGGGCTTCAGACCTATAAACAAGAATGAATAAAAGACAAACAATGATCAATATTGTATATGTACACCAAGATAAGCAATCGGGGCGGTAAGACAAAAGATATCATTTAGACTTATATATACAGTGGTATATCTGAAACAGGGGTGGCACCAGGGGGACTCCAAAATCAATCAAATAAGTCTTTGAAACTTATTTGATTGTAGAGGAAAATGTAGAGGAAGAAACTCACCTATGTTTATTTTCTCATGTTTTGCAAATATCTGAAGAGCATCAACAAAGTTTTTCTGGGATGAAAAAGAAATATAAGTAAAAATACCTTGAATATAATATTTAATTAAAATGTTTTATGACATTGAGTTTCAGAACATTGGCAAATGATTGCCATTAACAAACTTTATCACTACAAATACCTTTTATGAAATGAAGATACACACAATATGCTCTACATAAACAAAGTCTTGTTAATGAGGAAAAAATCATGTAAAACTTTATTCAAAATTCAAGTTCTTCATTTGCAACAGATCGTGGCCAGTGGCCAAATTTCAAGTTACAATTACACAAGGGGGAGGGGCAATAAAACATAGGAATTAAACTTAGGACCAAGTCCCAAAACCTTACTTAGATCATTAGTAAAATAATTATACTTAGCACTAATAGTAGTACTATTTCTAGTACTAGTTTTGTTTACACTGATGATAATAGATTTTATACAATATTGAAAAAATATATAACACTATGTAAACATACCATGTTTGGTGGGCCATGATAATGAACTTTTGGTAGACCAACATTTTTCAAAGTAATTGTCATACCTGAAAAAAAAAATATGAAAACAATTAAACAATTTCAAGTTATGAGCATTTTTTTCAATTCAAATCCTCATTTATTTCTAAATAGCTGCACTTGTTTCCTATTAGAGTAGGTAGAGATTTTCACCACATGAAGTTAATTCCTTATTTGTTCCATTATACCAAGTTTAAAAATGTATACAAAAAAAAAACTACCATACATAAACTGATGAATAAAATTTGATTTGAGGTTTTATGTCAATAAAAATTGAGAGAGCAATAAAACATATTATAAATTGACAGAAAGCTGTGAATGAGATGATCGATAGTAATCAGAGATGACTTACCAATAAGACCTCCAATATTTTCCCATTCCATTCTCGTTAGGAAAATATTTTCCAATTTGGAAAGATTCTTTACACTGAAAGAGTTTCAAAAGTTTTTAGATTATTCAATAGCTCAAGAGTAGAAACCAATAAAATATCAATTAAAAATGAATATTTACGTCCACCTTATGTTATGTATTCATCCATGTCTGTTTGTGTTAGCAAGAGTACTCAAAAATAATTAACGAATCATTATATCATTTAGTCGAATGGTACATAATAGTCTAAGAAAGAGATGACTAACAAGGTCAAGATTATAGAAATTTTGATTTCCACCCACCCCTTAAATTTACCCTCAGGAAATAATGGAATCGCCCATACACAGCCTGCTTATTGGTTGGTATCCAGGCACAGGGAAAACATATGCACTTTATGGAGTGACTGCTGTAGTTAATCGAAAAGAAACATGTTAGGCCAAATTTAAAAAAAAAAGTAGTTTCCCGTCCTAATATTTTGGGGAAAAAGGGATAATAATGGAATTTTTTTTCTCTTTACTCTGAGATGGAAAATTCAATATGGTCGATGGAAAACAGTCCACTTTTTCTCTTTTACCAAGTAGACACATTGAAAGCAAATAAAAGAAGCACTAGACACAATTCATACCATATGTATCCCCAACCACAAACAAGGAATTTTACTGATGTGAGTTAGCAAGATTTTCGGGACGAGAAACTAGTAATTTTGATTATTTGGCCTTAGTAACTTTAAAGAAAGAGATGAAGGATTGGCATGCAGCCTCAGAGCTTAGGTTTCTACCTTCTTACCACCACTACCATAATCACTAATCCTAATTCTTTCACCCTATGGATCAATATCATCATCTCTTACCCATTTTCCATTAGAAGACGTTGGATCCCTTCACCACAGTTGAACAAGTACCTATAAAAACAAAAAGCTAGAAAAGTACAATAAAGTTTTTGGACATATTGTACTATGATTTATGACATCAGCACATTTAACAAAAAAAAAATCCAAATTTAAAACTCAATGATTCCTTAGGTTGTTTTTATACTTTAAAGTGGCGGATTAAGGGCTTAAGGCCATTTAGTATGTAAGTGGACACCTCAAAATCTTCACTTTTTGACATGAATTCCGCCCCTTTCAGACCTTAGGTCCTTGGTTGCCACCCAAGCAAAAAAATGTTGGATCCACCACTGTCAATTTATGTCTATCTCCATTCAGAACTATATTGTAGGAACAGTACATTATTGGATTACATTGAATGATTTTATTACTGTAATGCATGCAGTGCTATAATACTGTAAAGTTTGTTAATTTTGCGAATGATTCCTCAAAAACCAGTTGCGTGGGAAATCGCTAGGAAAATAGGTGTGCAGAATCGTAATTACTGCATAATACATTGTTTATATTTTAAGATTACTTAGGTCAATCGGCCCTTATTTTCCGAAATGCGCCAACAGATTTCTAGGCCAAATTTTGGCATTGAGGATATGTTCCCTACACAAGCCTTACTATACAGTCTGGGCACAATGCACTGTAATGATAATGGCAGTTGGAATTACTCCCCAGAAACAAGGGGAAGAGTGAAGACATGGCCTGAAATGTTGTGTGGTGCATATTCTCCATGCATGCTAAGTCTGGAGTGCACTGACAAGAAGAAAGACAGCACAGTACAGGAGTAACTAATACTCCTGGGCCAGACTGTATAGTAAGGCCTGCGCGGGGATATATCCTCCATGCAAAAATTTGGCCTAGAAATACGGGCCGATTTCCGTGCAGATTTTGCTGAATATTAGGCTTTGAACAAATCTTAATATATAGCCAATGCAATGATGCAGCAATTACGATTCCGCGCACCTATTTTTCTAGCAAATTTGAGCTAATTTTTGAGACATTCTCCATGCCAATTAAAAAACTTTACAGTGATGATTCCTGGGTAGAGGGTCGTATACAGTAATTAAAAGTGGTGGCGCCAGAGGGGGGCGGGGGTGCTATAGCCTTTAGCCCCTCCGTCAGGCAGGTCCTGGCGTCACCACTGGTAATTAATAATGTCATCTCAATAGGCCCACCTATCAATATCAGTCAGCTGCTTACAGCACCATTTTCAACTGCATGCATCCTTTTGTGCATTTTCTATATTTGATTTTTTTTAATGTTTCTTATTATATAAATATTTTTTCAATTGCCTTATATAGATATTTTCCTAGCTATTAATGTGATAATAATTTAATACTGTATAATTATTATATACCTGTTGGAGTCTGCTATAACCAGGATGCTTGGGGGACATTCCAAGGATCCCGTGCCGATGACTTGTAATGAGAAATTGCCCACCATTCCCTTTAATTTTAGACGTTTACTCTTCTTTTCAGTAAAAGACGAAATGTTGAGGTGAGACATTTCTTCAATTAAAGACGTTAACGAGTTATTATCATTTGAATTACAACACAAATTTGACGCTGTCAACGTCCGAAATTCCCTAAGCCTACCCTGTACCCAGCGTTCTCCAAACGGCGTTTGCTTCTTCCTGTGTGCTACCGGTGATGATACCGTAGATCCCCGGTAACTTACTTGCTTGCCTAGGCCTAGCTTCGTTAAATGATTTTCAGGGTTTACACTTTGTATAGTACAGCCTACATGGCAATAAAGCTTGCGTTTCCATACATTAAGTAAGCATCGAGGTCTGTTTCGTATACTAATTCCCTTAATCCATAAATACATTTAAAAAACCACGACGTAAACAACCCACTTTCAGAAAATTGCATCAGGTTAGTCGCAAAACATCAACACGAGATAGCGCCACATGTTCGTTGCCAGGTCGTTAGCTAATATTTTGTCCAAATCTGACATCAGCAATTAACCGATTATACTTGAAGAATAGACGCGCACGTAACAAGTCGGTAATTACTAGAACATCGAATCAGATCGGTATGTGCTATCGTATCAAGTGAATATTTTCGATTTGTAATTCTTCTCTCTTAAATAATGAAATTGAACTTTAATAACAATAAAAATGACAACTTGTAACCTCTTCGGACTGTTCGTTATTATTAAGAGCAACCTACATTTTTTCGAAGACGTCACGTTTTTTTTTCTTTGTTTGCCAAAAATAGATCGCTCAATGAAACAAATGAAGCTTAATAACACTAATATCATTGTAAAATATACTACTGTATAAGATTCAAAACCGGCAACTATTAAATAAGTATTTTGTACAAATAAATATTAACATATTAGTTGAATAATTTTTATTAGTCCATATAATGTTTAAAAGCCAACTGAAAATGATTAAAAGTTAAAATTAAGTTTTCCTCAATTTACATGCTTAAAATTGGTCAACTCGGTGTGTTTAGTATTATAATTATAAGTGTTTATGTTTAACTTACATTTAACATTGGCAGTGGCGGTTTCAATGGAACCAGCCACCCACCAGCCCCCCCCCCAACAACTATTTTTTTTTCAAAAAAAGAAAATTTATATTAAAATTTAAGTCTGAGAGTGTCATTTTCGGCCGCCTAGAGGTGCCTTATACATAAAGGTTCGTAACTCAACGCCAGGGCTGAGTTGGAGTCCTAAACCCCCATGAGTAAAAGTCCTTTCCTGGTCTGGACCCCCTCTCTATTTCAAATTCCTGAATCTGCCACTTATTGGCATTACTTTGTGTGTTAGGCCTAACAATGCTAGGACGTTCTAAATCTTAAAGTAGCTCTTTTCGGCCTCTGTGTAAAAGATTTTTTTTTTAAATAAGTACTTTAAAATTGTTTTTACCGTCCATCCATTAGGTGTATTTTTTACTTGTATTTTGTTAGGTGAATTTTATACACTGATAATACATTTTGCATTTTTAAAAATATATTGATAGATAAAAGCATAGGGCCTACAAGTACATGACGATATAATCCTGGAATTTTAAATATAGAAAGGTCCAGACTACCTTAGCCCCAACTATGAAAGTTGTATAAAAAACTTAGGTCTAGAGGCGCATATATGGCCTAAACGGCATTCTGAATATAGCCTAACATTGAATGTAATCTTCTTAATTATTCTTATTTTTACTAAGTTTTAAAAAATGTATGTGCCCCGACCAACTGTCTCTGATCTATTGTTCATCCTCGTTAACATGTCAGCAGGGGTGCGCGCCAGGAATTGCCCGACGGTGGAACCGAGTTTCCGACAGGGGGACCGAGGTCCCGACGGGTGGGCGTGGGCGGTGTCCCCGACGGAGAGCAAAGAGGGCGTGGTCGGACATACGTCGCTCAAAATCTTTCGAAAGTGGTCCATGGGGCGAAGCCCCTGAAAAATATGACAATTTAGGGGTTTCAAGGGCTTATTTAGTCTACTAGGCCTATGTAGAAAATACATTTTATGTAAAAAAACATTTTATCTCTCCCGACGAACTGTGTTTTTTCTCGAAGGGGGGAGGGGAGCTTTCCCCGATGGTGAGCCCTGGCCACCCCCCCCCCACCCGCTGGCGCCACCCCTGGGTGTCAGTGAATACCGTAACTAGTGCCGCTCGAACGAGAGCAATGCTTCATTCTACATAAACAAAATCGAATTGATTGCAATCAATAGATGTTTTTCACAATGGCTCCTGTATTTTAATTTGAATTTTAAATTTTAAAATCATCTGCCAATTTCCATTTACGGAAATGCAATAACGCGATTATTATGGTAAAAACAGCATAATGAAGATACGATTTCTCGCCTCGCTGTATCATTTACATTAAAGATTGCCACGAGTGAATTCTGATTCAATTCATATATACATAAATCTGATAATCTTCTATGTTTTCCCATTTATGTTGACTTATTAAATTCAAATTTAATAGTGGACTCTCAATCAATAAATGTGGGAATAATGATCGCGTGCGATTTACCTATTTTTTGATTATTAAACTCTTAATATTGTATTAACACGTCCAATGATACCGATTTGTGGATAAGAATTATTATTCATTATTGGTACAAGCCAGCCCATTACCTCATAACATTGTTCCGTCAACTAATGGTGATGAATTTATTCACCTAACCGTAGGACAAAAGAGAACGCTAACGGGCAACATAATAATTCAATGCATACTAATTAGAGAAATTTATAAAATATATATCTTATTTTGATCTAAACGATACCCATGTGCACAGTGAATATCAAACAATATGAAATCATCTTGTACTAATGCTAGTAGTATCAAATTATGATATTGTTACTTGACAAGTTTTTCGTTCCCAATCGTACTATTAATTGTGATTTCTAGTAGGGCAAACTATGAACGAATTAAACACCTATTGAGTTACTAATCTGCATAGGCCACGTCAACAATGGTTAGTTTTCGCAAGCTTACGAAAACGATAACGAATACGGTTACGCCATCACATTTGACGATGACGATAATGACGTATTCGTATGCGTTATCGTTTCGTAAAGTTGCGAAACCTCCCTATTAGTGAGTTACGGTTACATCATCATTTTTTTTTAGTCAATCTATTCCATGCTGTCGTAGGAGATCTATAACTTTTAAAGATCTTGTACCGATGCATTGTTAAGAATGATTTAAGGCCTGTTTATACTTCAACTATAACGATAACGATAAAAAAAAAAAGCTAAAAAGCAATTGTTCATATAAAAAAATAAAAGAAATAAGTTGTACTAGAAGCAATGCTTTTATCGTTTGTCCATGATTATGACGTCATCTGATTTGATTTGTTAAAATAATTTATTATTGCATACATGATAAATCGTTATAGAATCGTCCTAGTGTAGAAACTTGTCTTATTTCTTTTGTTTTCTATATGAACAATCGCTTTTTAGCATTTTTATCGTTATCGTTATCGTTGAAGTGTAAACAGGCCTTTTGACACAAATGACGATAATGAAGATGACGTATTCATACTCATTATCGTTTTCGTAAGGTTGCGAAATCTCTCCCTAATATTTAACTATAAAAGTGCATCTCTTGTTTATTGAACATTTTATAATTAGTTCCTTATTTGGCCCATTCAACTACTGTTTCTGTAGAAGCGTCTCTGTCGACGGCCCTTTTAACGCTAATTCTACCACCACAACACGCACGACCAAGTCAACATTGGATCTTACTTTTTCATCATGCCTAGGCTAGACCAGAAAGGGCCCTTTTAAGGACTGTCCTTATTATCTGCAAACGTCAAATGTTTTGTGGACAAGATATTAAAAGAACCTATTTGCTTGTATAGCCCTACATACATTTAGGTGTAGACCTATATTGAGCTCATAATTTTCACATATAGCCTATATTATGGTGTATAATAATTCAACTCATATAATATAATAATTCTAAATGGTAATGGTAATTAAAATCGCCTCAACGAAGATTCGAACCCGGGATCATCTTCTGTCTATGCAGATTAGCCAAAGTGTCACTGGGGCTTATTGTGGGGTTCGATTCCGATTTAAGGCAACTGTTTTTGTTTATTTACCATTACTCTACCGATATTACTACTGCTGCTAGTACTACTATATCATAATAAAAATATGTAGATGATAGACGAATTGAAGTATATAACAACATTTTTTATATATTGCAGAGAAGCGAATCTGCAATTGCGCCCTCACATTCTCACCGTTAAAATCGTTCTGCACAACTCCTGTGTGTTGGTCTCGACTATTTCGTCAGTAAGATCGCTCTGAACCGTCAACACACGCATTTAATAGGCCCTACCACAATTTAAACACGTCACCAACAGAGTACAGTAAAGCAAAATGATATAGGTCTACCAGACAAAAAACAATGCCCGCTGCACACTCAATCTAATTTTCTATTCGGCTAACTGTCGCAATATCTTGTTACAGTTGGATAATTTCAAGTTTACCATTTTGAAACAAAATAAATAAATTTTGTAATTTTACTGACACATCTCTGCTAATAAGCAAATAATCATAATTTTTGGATATTTTTATTTTTATATATTTATTAATTATTGTTTGTGTCATTATTAAGTGTCACCATTGACGGCGGAAAAAATGTGTACAGCAATTAGGTTTGCTTTTGTTTAATCACGTCATTGTCAAGGGTGTTTTCTTTTATGTTTTTGTTGTATAATGTTCTAATAATTGGACAAAATAGATGAAATGAAAATGAAAATGAAAAATCAGTCTTTTTTTTGCAAGCAAAAACACATACCGGTACCTATATACATGAAATCATAACTATATGCAATTTAATACATTTTAAAAAATATGTATAAAAAATCACAATAATTATGCTAATAGAAAGCTGTGCTAAAATCTGGAAATATCTACAAACTTTAAATAAAATTATTGAATTTCTCATTTGAAACAATAAATTAAATTATGAATTTAAAATTATGGACAAATTAACACTATTTCACTGATTTATGCTAATAATTATTATTTATAAAGGTTTACTACGAAAATACATTAAACAATTTCGATTTCCAACGAAACTCTATACCACGTATTTTTATACGCTGTAATTGACGAATATATCTTTTTATCCTTAGTAACGTTTTCCACCTTTGAAGTGAATTCATTTCAATTGAAAGATGATAACTTTATTAAACTAAACAAAGTACAGTGAAAAATATAAAATACTTAATTCGATTATGTAATACTAACATTTGCAATGTATGTAATTAGAACAACTTCTGATTATGCTAAAAGATTTACGCGCATTGCACGAAATCTCAGACTTAACAGTGACAGCTTTTTTTTTTTTACTTTTCGAAAATGTATTTTGATAAAACATTATATTGACGGTGAATTATTCATGTGATTAATCATAAAATTATTCATGAC